CAGGCCAGTTCTCAAATACATATTTCCATTTTCTCTTCTGAACCCTGGAAGGATCCTCCTATAATCCCATTTTGATTCCAGAAATAAATCCTGACTCAATGGCTACCTTAACATTACCCTTGAAACGGTCCTCTCTTTTCTTGTGTAGGGCACTCATTTCTAAAAAATGATAAGGAATAATTTAAGGTTACTGCTGTGCAATTGTATTTTTGCCAGTGTGGTGAACTGAACATTCATTGCAGATCCGTCCATAGGCATTCTGAAAGGCAGTTTGACGATGAATAGATTGGATTCAGTGCCATAAACTGCAGCAATCTGGAGCACTGAACCTGGCAAACTAATTTCCTCAACTAAGCACTGATGTCCATGCAGCCATCTACTGAACCTAAACCATTTGTGCCTAGTTTTAGGTGGAGAGTATTTAAGATTTTCTTTTACAGTGTAAGGTTCCTATCTGAGCGAGGAATGTTTTTTTCTGGCCCTCAGCTGCTCTGCTAAATACAGGCTTCATGAATTATGAACGGCACTTAAAGTAAAGCTGTGCAGGCATGACCTATGCTCTTCGGATAAAATTGAAACACAAAGTTTTATCAAACAGTACCCCAGGTATGAATCAGGTATGAACTAACTTATTACTGCAAGAGAAACTGTCTTATTTCTGGCATTCGTTTTTATCTATTCAATACTACAATGCTGACAGAGGCAAGGAGGACAAATCCTTTACGCTGTGCACCAAAATGCTGTTTGCATCTCTACAAAAGTGTGACATTTGCCTTGCCTGCCCAAAAAAAATCAGAAGCTTCTGATAGGATGTTTTAATAATGGTCTTCAGAGGTTTGTAGAGACAGACTGCTTCCTGTAACCATCTTTGAGCTTTCAGATTTGGTTGGATCACTAATAATCACGTAGAATATACAGAAATATTTTTTCCGACATGTCAGAGCATTACAGAAATACAAAGATGCTGTGAAGTTTTGCTTGAAGTCTGGCACAGCAATAGCGGAAACTGCCCTGCTCCTTGAAGACTTCCTTATGAATTCCAGGCAAAGGACTTTATTGGATAAACACTTTAGGGGCCCTGGATTTATGGACTTTCATTTATTCAAAACCAACAAGTTGTTGGCCACATAAGGCTAGCCAGTATAAAAAAGTTCAGCATAAACTATGCAGTGCTTGAGACAATTACTGCTTTTACAGGGTACAAAACCTGTGAAGGGCTTCAGTCTTTATGCTTGCAGTCCTCCAATCATCCACAGCTAAAGACATCTGAAAGGCCTTAAAGTGGTTTATTAAATTTTTTAAGCCAACTAGATCAGAGGATCCCAAACTCTGATCCTACGAGTCTGGAATAAAACACGAGTTGGATGTTTTTTTTAATCTCATCCTTTTAGATGCACTTTTTTACATATCAAGAACAGGATTTGCTCTTGCTCATGTCTTGTTTTGTTTTTTCTTAAGCACTCTGGAACTCCTAGATCGGAAGGGGACTAGATAGGAATACATTTGTATCAGAAATCTCCCACAGCTGTTATGAAGGCATTAACTGGTCCACTTAAGTCTCATTTGCATTGAGTATAATTATTCTCACAGTTCAAGAGCTATTTGTAAGTACAAAAACATAACAAAAACCCTGGATTCCGGAGCCAAGTAGTCAAGCTGAATCAAAACCTGAATAAGCCCAGGACTGGAGCTGTACACCACAGGTGTTGACAGTCATTTAAACTTTTTAACAACCTTGACTCCTTAGTTCTGGGTACCAGCATAGAAAAATCATTTACAGTCAAGCGTGAATTGAATAGAATGACAAAGCCATTTCCAAGGCCCATACAGCTAAAGACTGGAATGTGATGCAACAGTCCTTTGGAAACAAAAAAATTGTATACCTTCCAGGTGACTACTGACACTGCCGGTATCACACTATCTGTAGTATCTCAATATTAAGGTCTTTTGAAAATACATGTTAATTATTTTGAAACTTTATGTTATAATTTAAAGGAAACCAAGGCTGTTATTTCTTTAAGTGTAGCAGCATCATAAAATTGTTTTACCTTTTGTTCAATATTTAACCTTAACAAAGCTCAACATGAATCTGGGATATTTAAACTCAATGCAATACGCTTTCATTAAAAATAACTCTTCTGCTACATTTTGCTATTTATGCCTTTTTCAATTGCTTTTTTCATGCAGCCTTAAGTGAACTTATTACTCTGCTAGAGGAATCCCCATATAACACTGTCAAAATAGTTTCAAAAAGTTGATACATATATAGTTAATATATAGAGAAAGAAATCAAGTATATATACACACAGAAAAAGATGTGGGGCAAATTATAGAGGGTAATCCATTTTCACTAATCCTTCGTACTTCAGATTTTGTGGTGGTGTTTTTAGAGGAAGCAGTGAGACAATGGTGCTTCACAACAGAGGTGTCAGAAAAGAAAAGGGTCATGACATGAGCCAATTATTTACGCACTGAAGATCGGTTCAGAGACGGCACTGAAAGTTAATTCTTTTTTTAAAAAAACGACATACACTTCTCTCTTTTCTAACTGACTGAAATCCGACCCAGCATAACGAGCCACCACCTACAGAAAAAAAAAATGAATTAAAAATAACAGAGTCTACAAATATGCGAGCAGAGTGAGCTTTCAACTAGAGAGACATGCTGTTTCATCCAACATCTCATTCCAATCAATAACTGCCAACGACCAGCAAAACACTATCCTGCAGCGACCTACCACAGTTATACCGGAATTGAGAATAATTTAAAGCAGCCAAGCACTCAGCCACTCTAAGGCTACCGAGGGTCCTTATACCAAATAACTTAGCATTTAGGACATAGGTGGGGAAAAGCATGCCTTTAGCCATTCTTGAAGAGTTAAACATCAAAAGCGCCACATTCCTCTGACCTTACCCTTCCTACTGTAGAGCCACAGCATACAATGTCGGAACATAGCAATGGGAGATGGCATAGAGGTGAATGGCCACTTAACGACAAGGTGGCAGTGAGGTGGATGATAGGATGAGGATGGCTTGACAAGAGGGAGGTGGAGATGAAAGACCTGGGAAACGGTCCTGGGTGCATCGCTTCGCTGCTGCCAGTCCCGCGGGGCAGGGGCAGCAGACTGGGGCAGGTGGGCGAGGGGGCTGTCCTGTCGCCACAGAAGGTCCTGTACCACACTGAAGGTGGAAGAAGCTTGGAGCGGCACGACTCGTGTACGTTTGTCCACAGACACGCAGGCGCCCCCCAAAGAGAGACCAACCAGAAAACAGCCCCGTCCGCAGCTTGCAGTTATTCTCTCCTATGCGTTTCCTTAGTCGCTGAAAGATGCGATATTAGGATTTCCCTCTAGAGCAGGGAATTTACAATGCTGGGAGTGCACAGCGCTGCATATGTTCGGAGCTGACACAATAATCCTTCTTTTAAAAAAAACGCCGAGCGAGGGAAAAGGAGAGAGACAGACTGAGAGCTCACGTGAACGGCAGGCAGACTGAAGACGAGCCTGACCGACGGGCGCGGACGGTCTGACTGTCAAGCGATGGGGAGGAGGCGAGCGCGCAGCTCACCTTGAAAATGGAACGTCTTCTGGTCCACGGTGATGGTGAAAGTGCTGTCGTCCTCGTCGTCAATACCAATCACAGCTCCCTGGGAAACAAAAGAGAGGGCCAGTCAGGCTGAAGGAGACGTCACCGGCTCTCTCTCTCTGGCTCATGCACGCACACACAAGCCAGGGGAGGAGAAGTGAGGGGGGGTGTCTAGGCAGAGAGAGAGGGAGGGAGGCGTTTGCACACAAACCAGCAGCTGAAAAAAAAAATACCGCAGGGCCATATAACTAGGAAGTCCAGACTCTGTTTTTTTTTTTAAACATCACATTTTTACATTGTTAAAATGATTAGTGTAGTATGCATTTTTCATGGCTGGAAGAACAATTCAGTATCCTTTACATATTCTTAATGTAGCTAAATTAGTCTCTCAAACAGAATGGACAACATTACTGTGCACACAGAGGGAAATGATAAGCAAGAAACACTGGCAGTCACTAAGAATCCATAAAAATGCACTTCTGCACAAGTAGGTGCCTCTTAATTTTCAGGAATTTACTTCATTGCAATTTACCTCCCTCACACACATACAATAAGCGAGTACTCTGTCCCCACCCTAAAAAAGGCGGAAGAACCTTCCCATACTGCTTAGTAGCTTCCTAATATGAGCTGCCAATGAATACAGATAAACATCTAATTCTGTAAACTTTTAAAACAATGCTATACATACACACTTGATTGTGTAAAATATAATCTTATATAAGACAGTCTGTAGAATTAAAAAGTCTCCTTTCTGAACAGATTTAACCAACTGCTAGGGAAGGTAAATTAGATAGTAAACAGATCTGAAAAGTGGATACACTAGAACACTTTCAAAAGGAACAGGTTGAGTGAAACCCATACATATGAAGTGATAGTCATTTCAAATGACTCCATTTAAATAGAGAACTAGGTTCAATTAAAAAAAACAAAACCAGCCACAACAGAAAACATAAATCTCACACTGCCCTGAAGTTCAATATCACAGTACATCCTTTTTTATTTTGAGTCACAACTACTGCAATCAAATTTCATCTTTTTTATCCAGGTTGGCTGAATGACTGCTCCTCAGTTTGATTACCATCACTCAGGAACAACCTGTGCTGAAGTAAACCATGCGTCAGCAACAAAGCAGAGAATCTGCTCCCATCTGGCTGCTGGACGTGTGGCATTACACTGACCATGACTGGAATGACAAGCGCACTGAGTATCTGACTGCACTTTTCACAGCAACACAGATTTCAGAACTTCAAGAACATCAAAAGAACGAGGTTACAGGCATCATGGCTTAAGGAGAAGGAAAAACTTTAAAAACAAAGCTATGGTGAAGAAATACTTTATGCTTTACATGATATAGTATATCTTGCCTAAAAATACTGTGAATCAGGTTCAATCCAGTAATCCTTGTCAATGAAAACCCTAAAGCGAGTCTGTTAAAATGTTTCTGTAAAACAATCTCAGAAACACACAGTAGAACATATGTAGCTTCTTCTGGTGGAGTTCTGCGTTTTTGCTATAGGTTTTATGATTGAAAACGTGAAATGACTTCTGCCAGCTCTATAAACATTTAATAAAAATGGTTGAAACACAAGAAGAGATTCACCTCCACCAGCATGCTTGGTAATTAGTAGCTTATTGATCCATAGATCGCACCCAGCTCTTTTTTGAAAAAGGTTGACTATCAGCTTCAACAACATATCTGCGAAGCTTGTTCCATACTCTTAGCTAGCCAATTAGTCAAAGAAGCCAGAGTATCAGCTACAGGGAACATGGCTAGAGAGCTTGTTCCATACTCTTTTGTGGCAAGTTCCTCCAGTTTTTTTATATTTAAACATACTTCTACCTAGTTTGCATGTGTCCTCTGGTCTGTACTTCACAGTTACTATGAAGTCTGTTAGACTGGCTTTGTCAATGCTTGTGAGGATTTTGAAAAGCTGTAAATCTCACATCACAAAGGTCTGACATTCTGTCATCACAAAGAATACTGTCCTGCCAAGAAAGTAACACCCACTTGCCATCAGTAAATATTTCATTACTGCGGGTGACAAGGAGATAAGAGTACCATATGGTGCTATATTTTGGAACACAACATATTGGAGTTCTGCTTTCAAATGTAACAGTTTGTCTGATGAAGTGAACTGAATGTGGAAAAAAGTGAATGTGTCAAAGCTGATGGTGAAATCTGCAGGGTACAGCCCTCTCTGTGCTATGTGATTTGGCAGATCCTTTGAGGATTTTTGTGTACCGGGATGATTTAAAAGGTAAGGTTTTCACTCCAACATTTTATAATATGAAATAATTTAAGAATACAAGTAGAGTTTTAAAAGAGAAAATGCCATTCAACTCATCGTATGACCTATTTGGTTACTAAAAGACAAAGGATCACAGGATCTAATTCTTCAAAAGAAGCCAAAGTACCAGTATCGGCTTGTTACATACTCCTACATCCCTTCGGGTAAAGAAGTGCCTGTGTTCCATTTTAAATGAATTTTCTAAAAGAGGTCCATAGTGTTAACTTTGGGAATTTTCAATATTTGATCCATGTACTTCTGCAGTCTTCTCTATTTAAGACCTAATCCTAGGACTGTGTCCACTTTCTCTCCTTTGGACTGATTCAAGAGCAGCAATATTCAAAACTCCTTGATTTAAAATGATATTTTAACTATATTTCTTCACATTTGTAATCAGTAAATGCCTCTCACCCTAGCATATATAAATAATGCAAAAGATGTGTTGACATACGCAGCTAAGATTTTTAATAAGTAGCTGGTTCAAGCTCGGCATCTCCCAATTTGTATTTTACACGGTTTTAAAATTTCTTCATCTGCTTCTACAGAGTTTGTTAATCCTCCTTTTTAGCATTGTCAGCAATAGGTTATTAACCAGAATTGAGATTATAGCTATGTATCAAGAAGAGCACTGCAGTACTATAAGTACACTGCCAAAGGGAGCCTCATTCCTTACCTGTACTCTCTGGTTTATATCCATTAACCAGGTCTCAATCCAAGCATGTGCACTGAATGCTTACTGTCTGCAAAAGCCTTCTGAAAATCTAAATATACCATATTGCATGCTACGAGGGTGCCCATTACTGCTGTTGCTTCTTCCGAGTTGTTTTAATGGCCTATGAATAGCATCTCCCTGCCTTAAGTACAAATGGCAGAATACCATTAGGCCCTGGAGATTTGTTGATCTGAAGTGCTTCCAACACCTGTAACTCTTCTATCAGCCATTTCTCTCGCCCCTCTTGAACTTTTCCATTATTATCCCTCATACATTTTACTTCATTCTTTGTGTTTCTTTTTCCCCCACTGTCGTAGTACTGAACAACTTCTTTATTATTAATCTAGCCTCCACTGGCATATTCCTTTCAATTGGTCCCTTGGCCTCTCCGATATTCTTTTGTACCTGCCTTTACAAGTCATTATGTTCCTTTCAGTCCATCCCTTCGTTTCTTCCCCATCGGATTGATTCAACCATTTGGATCACTGTGTTCTACCACTCAGGGTAAACCCATTTGTGCTTCAGGAAGGTCTTTAACCTTTTGCCACCTATTTCCCACCAATTCCCATTCAACTTCTCTTAGGCTCTGTCCCATTCCTTCAGTCTGCTTTTCTGAAATCGTGGACTTTGCCTGCAGTCTTTCGAAATATACGTCAAATTCATATTGAGCTCCCATCCTAAGGGAGGAAAACCAAGTTAATTTCATTACACAGTGTTCAATTAGGATATCTGAATGTGGTGGTCTGTATCACACCCCTAACACTGTATCTATTGAATGTTTTTAGAAGTCTAACCAACATTCCTCTATGTTATGTTACTGTGCCTGAAAACCCTTTTCTAAATGTCATGCTGCACTTCCTTGTCTTCCAGCTTTGCTTTGTCCACAAATAATGTATTTATCAGCATGTGTTGAGCTAGCCATGCTTCCCTGACCCCAGTTGCAATCATGCTTGCCAACGCAGACGTTTCCATCTCATGCATTTTGTTGCTCATATTCTTGTTGTTTATCCTGTATGAGCACATCATTAACTTGTCCATTGATATTTTATTTTTTCCTGTCTGTTTTGGGGGTTACTTCTCATGTAGGCTGCTGCAGGATTTTATAAGGGCTCTCTTCCCCTCCATTCTATGTTTAATGGTTTTGAATTTCTCTGTGGATCATTACGCCAAAACAACAGGTGTCCTCCTCATTTAGATGTAAAAGACTCAACAGTTACCATTTTACATCTAAATCGCTCTTTCATTTTTAAATCCCTCAGCAGATATTGTTTTAAAAGTAACACTCAGGTTGTAGCATACCTCAGTTACACATTATGGAGTAGTACACAGCAGTACTTATTAAATGCTTAAGAGATGATGAGAAATTTAAATAAGATCAAATTTAAATAAGATCAAATTTAAATAGATAAAACCTATCTTTTACGGCTATACTTTAGCGGGACTTAGATTTTGTAAATTTCCAAAATATTAATTCATGTCACTTTAAGCCAACCAATCTATACGAAACCTGCCATAAATTAATAAATTAATCTAATGGCATATGCGGACTGTTTGAGATGAGCATATAGGGACTCACAACAGACATAAGCGATACACAAAAAATGTACGGTTTTCAGATATCCATTAATGTGTAAACACCACCCCCTACTGTCACAATTCTGAAACTTCTTGAACCATATCATGGGGTTACCGAATACAGATCAGCTGATAAATTTAGAAGTCCGAGGAAACTTTTCTCATTGATGGGAGCTAAACCTTAAGTGCTAAATGTGAAAAGTCCTCAACTATTACAATGAGTGGTAAAAACCACAAGTGATTTTCATGACCAGTTATGATAAAAAGATTTCTTTATAATTACCCGTGTTACATCTTAATTTACCCGTTTTGGAATGCTTTTAATCTAATTTTTCAAGTAACTCATAACAATTCGTACAAATTTGAATAACTATTTTAGATGCCGTTTTGCTAGTATACCAGGTGTAGCTGTTTTGAGGATCCAATTTGTAGCCCTACAGACTCATTTCTTGTTTTCCTCCTCAAAAGCTTACCGTTTAGATAAAGAGCAGCTAGAAGCAAACATGAGGCTTGTCTGTAAGGGTGGTGCAAGTTTAAAGTGGAAACTGCCCAAAAACACATTCTTGATGGGACTCAATTCACCCTTTAGGCCAAAAGTGGTTCTGTGTTCTATCTTTCTGCCACATTGTAGAAATGGGTATAATCTGAAGGAGTTAAATAAAGTCTGTTTCTCATAACCTGTATGTCTGCCAAGATTGATGTCAGTGTAACACTGACACTGATGCATTTCCTCTCATACAATGTTGAGAAACCTGACTTTGTGGCTGAAACACATTGCCAAATTAGCCACTTTAACACGGAGAAGTGCTTGGACACGTCACTAGCCGACAGTGACCAGGGGTCCCCTTCAGGTGACGCACGATTGGCTGAGCATCAAGGTGGGATTGGCAGGATTCGCTGACCAGGGCTCTCTTGGCTCTCAGCAGCACAGCGCCCCCTGCTGCCCCCAGGGTGCTTAAAGACACATGGTGCTGTCGGTGAGGGGACATGATCCTCCTCCAATCAGCGCTGGACCTCCGATATGGGACTCTGCTGCCTGTGTCATGTTAAGAGACGAGTGGCTCAAAGGTGGGCAGATTGGAGAAGTCCGCCTACACTTTCCACATGCTCCCCCCGTGTGTGGTCTCAGGGTTTGCCGAGTCGTGAAAAAGAAAAACAAAACTGGCAATACCAAATGTGGCGGGCTTAAAAGTAATTTCAATTAAAAATGAAAAACACTGAAAAGTGTTCAGAACCCAGAAACAAAGTCTAAAAGGGGTGAATGCAATTGCAATTCATATGACTAGAGCTTACTGGCAAGTGGTGGGAGAGTACAGAGACCCAAAAAGGTGTGCTTCTGGGAAAGGGTGGAATCACTTCTGAAATGATGCAAGACCTCTAAAACGGTTAGACATAAGAAGAGTTTAAGGCTTATCCCTGCCCTGGTGAGAGATGAAGAAAACTCACCCGCAGTCGCACACATCCTCTTCTGGAACCACGCATCATCTTGTCCTTTGACTGCAAAAATGAAGAAAAGACTATTAACAGCTTTAAAAGAGCTACCATTTTTTTCTGCACCATTCTGTGGGATTGGAAGCAGAACTTGGCGTTTCAACACAGTGCAGGTTCCTTGTTTGGCATCCTACCCTACACTTCTCCATTACAACACACTAACGCATGCACCGCATTGCTTTTACTGCCGCAGAGAAATAACTTCACAGAACCCAAACAAAAAGCAGCCTTAAAACATGGTCCACTAAACTATATGGGACTCGCAGGCAGATCAATCAGGACAGGTGCTCACTGGTGACTGTATTCCTGGCCCATGTCATTAAAGGTGAATGACCAAAATTGCACATGTGGGACAAAACAAGCAGAGCGCAACTTAGGGTAGGGCTGGGGTCAGTCAGTCAGCGTTCTCTCTGGTATGGTCCGGGAAACAAGGATTCTTTGGACTTTTTGCACACCTGCAGGATTGCAGCGATGTCAGGGAGAGACTGCACTACCTCTCCCGCCAGGGGCTGTCAGATGCATCACGGCTGCACCAGAAGAGCATGACCATGGTCACTTATCTCCATGGAGGGCACAGAAGGTTCTGCTCGAGAGATGAGTCCTGCACAGTTCACAAGTGAGGCAACCGGTGTAAACACACTGGCTGCTGTGCAGAACATAAATGTATCACAAACAGAATGATGGACAGCTAGCTGGCCTATTCAAAAGTGACGGACATATGACCTATGAAATGTGAACCACATACAAACTAAACTACGGGGAGTATAACATAACATCACTTTATTAGCCCTATACAATTGCTTGCATTAGGAATTCGTCTTTTCGCATACCCCAGCTTGCTCTCCATGAGACACAGACACGCAGACAGGGAGAGAAGATTGGGGTCAGAGCGCAGGGTCGGCCATTGTACAGGGTCGGCCATTGAACAGTTGGGGTTAAGGGCCTTGCTCAGGGGCCCAACGGAGTAGGATTCCTCTGCCGGCTGCGGGATTTGAACCGGCAACCTTCCAGCCACAGGCGCAGATCCTTAGCCACAGAGCCACTGCTCCGCTCAGTGATGTTATGTTATGATGTTAAGTGTTGTTATGAGTATATTCCCATGGACAATAACATCTGTTCAGCTTCCTGGACCCTGCTCTTCCCCTTATGCCAGCTGTCCTAGGCACACACTGTGGGAGCACCGACTGTGTTCTTCTTGACTGCATTTAGATGTGCATCACAGTGCACAGTCTTCACAACATGGCTGTTTGAATTCAGCATATAACTTCAAGTACCTTGTGCACAAATGGAACAAAGTGGGACATCCTGATGGGGGAAAAATAAAAAAGCACTCAGTCTTATCACAGGCCTCTCAAAACATGCCCAAAGTCTTTCTATAATGGATCTAAATATAGCTGCTTTAAAAATAAAAAACTCCTGATCACTGATATGCCTTTAATGGCAGTCAAGCAGTGGTCAAGTAGACAGTAACAAGTTGTTAAAAGATTTTAATAGAGACTGGAATGTTAGCCTGGAGTAAAACATTTCCCTCTGCTATTTTATAACTAAGTGAAAAGTCTTTGTTATCTGTCCCAAAAATGCTATGTCCCTTCCTTCCTTGCTTTCAATGGCAGCTAGAAACTGGAACAGGACCTACAGTATATAACTCCAGCATGTTCTGAAAAGGCCTCTCATTTCATCAGTGAAATACTCGATGACACAAAACCATTTGGATAAACGGTTATACAGTTATCTTACAGACATCAATTAACCATGTGCAAATGGATGTTCACAGATGAAATCCATTAAGATTCCAAGTGGAAATATTACACTTCACCTATTATCTGGACTGATCGTAGGAGTCAGGTAAAAGTTTCAGTATATACTGTTTCCATATTTGCAGTTGCCACATTGTTTGTGATGATAATCACTACACTTCTGGGATTGTTTGATCTTGATCTTATAAGTCTTATGACAAACCATAAACAGATGGTTTGTTGGTATCATGTGCCTGGTGAAAACCGAACACAGAGTTACTTAGCACTAATTATAACTCAGGTTCCTCCAGGGAACCCACAAGTGTAGCTTGAACCGCCATGTTGTTATAGGAAATGAGCTGAGAATGTTTTCACTTTTTTGAAATGTACTCACTTGGATCCTGCATTAAATATTATCTAATATAGAAGTATTCAGAATAACCGTCTGTAAAAAATAAAAAAGGTTCAACTGTCTTATGAAATGATCTTTTCTTTTAACTTGAAAAAAAAAAACTTTCCATTTATCTCACCACTCAAAGATGAAATCACCACCTGTTAATGAATTTCTGCTTCTGCTTGAAAGGACGGAACAAAGCACATCTTGGAAATGCTCCCTATTCACAATGTTTCACATTTCAGACCCCTCAGGAGACCCAGGCTGTCTCAAGACAAGTGATTGAGACAAGAGACTGTGGAACTCTGGAAAGAGACCAGAGTCATTCAGCACCAGATCCGACTTTCGATGTCTGGACTATGGACTCAAACTGAGCTGCAAACAAACAGTTTTTCTGTTTGAAGTAGACTGTATGTAACGCTTACTATATACCGAGTGTGTTTCCTGGTTGATAAGGATTAAATATATCACTAAGTACACACTCAAGCCTAGGGGCTCATCAGTTGTGAGCATATCCTGGTTTCTGAGTGGAAAGCAGACTAGGAATCCACTGCAGGGTTAGGCTGGCTTATTAGATGCTTCATGTTAAGTAATGTTATAACAGGTAGCCATCAGCTCACTGTTCTTCTCACCTACAGCTCTGAAATGAAGGGTGAGAGGAAGCCAGCATGTTATGGATGACAAGTTGAAGCTGCTTGGCACATCCCTCACGGACAGCACCTCACACCTGTAGGTCCCAGGGAGGCCACGGGGGGTCTCCATGTCTGCTGAGAAACCCCTGGCCGACACTGCTCTCGGCTGCACTCAGCCAACTGAGCAGGCTTGAACCTGCCATCTCTGAACTGTGGAGCTCAACCTGACCCAGGTAAGCACCTCCAGCAGCCGGGCTACTCACGGGGCCCCAGGACTTTGAGTTTTATAAAATAAGCATCTCACCCAGGATCTTTCACCTCATCTTCTTCCTAGATATATGACGTATCTTTAAGAAGATTCCACAGTCTAAAACATAAGGTATATCAAGACAAGCTCAGGATGGAATCAGACAATTGCATAGGTCTTTACAGATCCTATTCTTCTGTGTGCTTTCTAGAAGAAAAATACAAAAACGTGTAAAGGAAAGAACATTGTTAATATCTACAGTTGGCATCACTTAATTAACTCTTACTGCACAACATGGCTTTTTCAGTTGGCTCAGTCTCCCAACCCAATTCCTCTTTTTGCATACAGGAGGTCACAAGAGTGAGCAGCAAGCATTGTGAAAACAGAAGTTGTAAAACAGTTCACTCTCTGAAGGCAAGAGCTCATTAATATTTAGACCTAGAATTCAGAGCGACTGCAAGTACTCATAAGGCCACCATAGCCCTGGAGGACACTCCTTGTCTGGCACTTCTATTATACATGAACAGATGAATACCTGTGATTGATCATGCTCATTTTACAGAAATGTAAAACAACAGGAATGGGTATCTTCTGCCAACACTCTGGAAATGTATATTTTTATTCTAGTATTTAGAAAACTATTTCAAAGCATCTTATTAAATGAATTTTTTAGAAGTCAGGAGCACCAGTTCTGGATTGACTTCTGACATTAAAAGGAAGGGTTTTTTACAGATCCCCTGTACCCAAACTCCCGGCCCTGGTTCTGATTTTTTCTGCAGGAGATACAGGGCTTGGTGAACTTGCCTCACACACACTGCTGGTCCAACACAGATGAAACTTTGCATAACCGTAAAGACTGCTCATCCATAATATTTATTTGACGGTTCACAAGGTTCCCTTCCTGACTAAAGATTAAACAAAGCTCTATGAGGTTGACAGTAACATTCTGATTACACAGCATTTCCAAATTTCACAAGTTGCAAACTTATGCACTAAATGTACCGACAGAAAAACAGACGTGATATATTCAGGTGGGGAGCTGCGTCAGCATGCATAGGCTGCAAAGGAACAAGTAATAGGTTTATTCCATGCTGAAAAGAGAAGAAAGAAAACACAACTTTCGGCCGTGGAGCCTTCTTCAGGTGTCCTAGAATTCATAGAGCCTTCTTCAGGTGTCCTGAAGAAGGCTCCACGGCCGAAACGTTGCATTTTCTTTCTTCTCTTTTCAGCATGGAATAAACCTATTACTTGTTCATGTGATATATTCTGCTATCAACTGCACAGTACTCTCTTTTTTTTAACATACAAAGTAGATAAAGCATTGTGATTCTATACCAAAACATTTTTTGCACCACAATAAAAGATCACGTATTATCCTACATGCAAGAAAATTCCACACCTTTAATTCAGAATTGTTTGTGTTCATACAGTGCTTTTCATCCCAAAGGATTCAAAGCACTTCAAATATACCACTTCATTCACTAATCAACCACCTGGGTGATATGAGCTAGGCAACCTGCTCTGTGGTGTGGTTCTTGGTGATACTGCATATCAAGCAGAGATGTAAATGAAGTATTTCACCATCTAGAGCAAGAGGAAGATTTCCAAGCTCTATCAGCAGTAGTATATCTCACTTCTTATGTACTTGTCAGAGCTGTCTTTCACATGATGTGTGTTTTTTGCTTGAGTTTTATATATCTACTCCTGGTGTTCTTGATAGCATTCACTCATTAGTAGTATCTATTATGTTTACAACTTAAAGTGCAGTGCAATGTTGTTTTAATAGAGACATGTTGGTTTGAACACACTGATCCACCTTTGTTCTGATTGCACTTAAAAGTTTTACTTTGGACTATAAACAGCTCTGTTCATTTTTCAGTACTCTCCAAAAGTTTTAAAGCAGGAGCTCAGATATAAGGTGAGACCAGTATTGAATTTTACAGTCAGTGACAATGACAGAGGATTGTGCATCAACAGATTCTAAAAACTCCAGCAGTCATTCAACATACAATCATCGTGATAGTATCCAGGTTCATGATATTGGGAGGGTATCGTTGTCAGGGCAGATTGAAAAGGGGGTCAAGATTGGAGGCAACAGAACACTTCGTTTTACTAATAAAATACCCTCACCTTAAGGACATGAATACAGCTGAAATATTTAAAGTTTAGCACCAGACGCACTAGTGACTTCGTGGTTTAAGACGCGTCGGGGGGTGGCATCTGTATGATCAGAATAATAAAAGACTCCATATTCTGCAGCACGCTGGTGCTAGGCAGACTCCCTCATGTCACAGGAACGCTGACTCAGTAAATCTCGGGCGAGCGTCTAATGAAGACACTCCTCTGGGCTGTGCACTACATTAAGAACCGTATGAGACCGTCTTAAGGAAGGGGGAATTAAAAGCCAGAAGTTTATGAAACGAATTTCCTCTAGGTTTTCTTTACCTATGTGTTTACTGTACCAGCAAAACAAGAGTCACGTTACTTGTTTCCGCGTTGCGTTCCTATCAGAAGACATCTATTCAGCAAACCTGTACTACTTCCTGCAGCAAAACATTCTGACAAGGCAAACAGAGGGTCGTGACAGTTGCGGTATGGGGCTTGAAAGCACATGCTGTACACAAACCACACGACTCTGGCCGAACACGTTTCCATTAAGCTCTGAAAACACTCTCCAAGCCACCACCCTTGGAAGTGGCAGACATCTGCATATCGTTTGTGTAATGCGCTGCTCCATACCCTAACTCTAAGCCCCTCCCCTGCTCCTACTTTATTCGTTACTTTCTCCGCAGCTCGGGCTCTGATAGGCCAGCCGAAGTGTCACTCTCAGTCCCCGCCCCCTGTTTTCCAGCTGAGATTCCCAACTCCTGGCAATAGGCCTCCCCCCGCCGCCAGCCAGTTCTAACACAGTCGCTCACAATAACGCCAGCCGGGACCGCCACAGCCTTAACCCAAACCAACATCTTTTTAAAAAAATTCCGTAACAGCACATACCGTATAGTATGACAGCAGGCCAGCATTATAGTCCAAAACGAACCAACGGTACTGCCAACCTTTCATGACGTTAGTCCATTTACTCAGCGGCCCTTCCATGATGGACGCCATCTTTAAACTTGGCTAAGGTTCGAAGGGGCGGGGCTTGATAGGAGGACAGCGGCGGGTATGACGTCACCGCGTACTACTGTGGATCAAACAGAGGGGCGTGACTCTCAAGCAGTTACTGGTGTTTCGGCTTTCTGCTCTGCGAGCTATAAGGTCGGATGTAGAATATGCTCGCTGGATTATCGACCTGTTGTGTTCCAAGACCGACTCCGGATAATCGAGGAATAAGGATAGTCAAACACCGGATAATCACAAGTCTTGGCTATTAGAGATTCAAGTTAGACATATTTTCACGGATATGTTTTCTGCACAGTTTGTATTTTATTAAGCGCTGGCCTTGCGGAAAAGTGATAATCCTAAAAAATAACGATCTTTGCAGCGATCGAAATTTAATTTAATTAAGGATTCATCAAGAGCAGCCTTTTTCACAATTCAGTGTAAATAGAATATAGTATTATAAATATGACGTATATAGTTCTCAAGCTGTGAACTACAGCCTGACTCGCTCTTTTAAATAGAGATAACTCTTCAATCATTTGTTAGCAATGATCACAGATTCCGGTGGAATGATTTTGTTTTTGTTTTTCAAGTATCTAAGTAACGTTTTAGACATGTTTCAATAAAGCACAGATAAAATGAAAAAGAAAAAAACAATATTATATTAGCATACCAGCGGAGAAGCTGATGATGGAATGTTTGTCTGACTCAACAAACTTGACACAAGACAAAGGGTTTAGGATTTTGTTATTTGAACGCCTGACCATAGTTTGTCTATGTTTAAATAAGAACTCTTTGAAAGTCGATGTGAAATTCTAAAAGAAATGGTAGTTCACAAAAGACTCCAATACATCTGTAGCAGGAGTGTGGTCCCAATGATTTGTTCCATACATCCACTTCTCTCAGCGTGCAGTAGTGCCTCCTGTCATGGGCACCACCTGGTCTCTGTCCATTTTTAAACCTGGTTTCTGGTTTCTGTAATTGGTTTCCAGGGTGATGCCAGCTGACTTTATCAATCTTAAGGACTCTTAGCAGGAATTAAACTCAAATTGTGCCCCGCAGAAACAGCAGGCAGTGGGCCTGTTGCAGAACTTGGCTTTGTGCTCTTGAAACCTGAGCAGTATAGAACTCTCTGGTGATGAGAGACCCGGACGTGTCATGTAGAGGGGTTGGTTCAGGCAGTTGGTCAAGATCCAACATTGTACGAGGGAAAGCAGAATCCCAGCCATCACAAGCACCTGGCTTCCAAATGTCCTTAGCTGTATGACATTCTAATTGGTTAATTTGTGTAATAGGACTGTGATGCTAAAGTTCAGCTTCTTCCCATTGTGTCCTTTGAATCTCACTTTTTTAAAGAAATCATAATTGATGTGTAAAGGATAATAGTTCTCTCTGGAGGTCGGAAGTGGAAACTACTTGAAAGTGATTTTGAATCTGAGAACAGGAAGCACTTCTTTACACAAAGAGTTGTGGGGGTATGTGACAGGTCATGTTACCTAAACCCATACCGTGTCTTCTTTCACAAAATGGTTGCATTGATCCTTGGATCAATAAGCTACCAAACAGGATACTGTAGATCAAATGACCTCCCCTTGTGTGTAACCTTTCCCATGTTCTGTTTATGTGGCAATGAAATGATGACTCTTTGATTCTCTCTTTGTCTATTTTTAAATAGTCCCTTAGAGAACTTGTGAATAAATATAAAGTTCTTTCAGGTTGGAGTTTAGATTCTTTCAAAGTAAATCAATGGGCAGCAGTGGGATGTTTGCACAGATGTCTTTATTAGATTGTCCCTAAAGAAGTAATCTTAGTCGAATAGTTGTAATAATAATAGTAAAAAAAAATGAAACCAATAGCATTAAAATTAAGTCAGGTGTATGAGACATAGGCACAGTCATCACCAAGACAGGATAACAAGGGCATTCAGAAGCAGGAACAGGTAATATGGAGGAGAGAAGAAGAAGAGTGAAGAAATCCAAAGGAGCAATTAGTCCTAAGAAAATGTTTCCTCCTTTATATACAGATATACAGGACTACAGATCAGAGACCAACCCTAGGGCCTTCAGTATGGGACTGTTGTGTTATATGTCTGGAAATACTGATTCCAGAGTAAGTTAAATGTCCCAGTTTGTTAATGCTGCATTATTTTAAATAGGGAAAAGGGTTACCATTTGTTTAATACTTTTTAGAGAAAAATGCAGTCCTGACTTTGGCAGTCCTTACTTTTTCCAGTGATTGAACTTCAGTTGATGGGCAGTGTTTTGAGTCTCCATGTCTATAGAAGGTAGGACTATGATTCACACACATCTGTAACTATTGGTACTTAAAAGTAGTGAATGTGACTGTTACCATTACCATCCTGTAGTGGAGGACCAAGAAATCATGTGCTGTGTAACACTTGGTATGCCCTCTTTATCTGGACTGAAATGGATTTGATACTTCTTAGTTTGTAACTTTACCCCCCCCACCATTTTATTACAATTAATTATTGTTAAGTGTAGGAGCTTCATGAAGGGCGGAGCGGTGGCTCTGTGGCTAAGGATCTACGCCTGTGGCTGGAAGGTTGCCGGTTCAAATCCTGCAGCTGGCAGAGGAATCCTACTCCGTTGGGCCCCTGAGCAAGGCCCCTAACCCCAACTGCTCCAGGGGCGCTGTACAATGGCCGACTCTGTGCTCTGACCCCAAGCTTCTCTCCCTGTCTGTGTGTCTGTTTCTCATGGAGAGCAAGCTGGGGTATGCGAAAAGATGAATTCCTAATGCAAGCAATTGTATAGGGCTAATAAAGTGATGTAATGTAATGAAGTTTTGCTTCCAGAACCAGAATTGTTGCTGAATTGCGTTGTTCGCGCAGCCATGAACCAAACAACCACTAGGTAGCAGGCCTCAAACCAGTGACACTAGCTCCTCAGAACAGGGGCTTACATACCCTGATACACTCCACTATTCCCAAAAGTAAAACTATAACGGTTTCCCCTCTTTTCAACCAGGGTCCAATCCAAACCCTGTAGATTAGACATTTCAGCAATGTCTGGAATTCTGGGTTCCTGACATGGGCTTTGGCAAAGTCAGGACTATGCGCCTAAAGGAAATTCATTTTATAGCTGTAATTCAATCACTTTTGATGTGAAAGATATTGCTGCTCTGGAACTGGTTAGTGAAGAGCAACCGGATACATCGCCTGGGCTCAAATCCATGTTCATTACCTATAGCCTTACAGAATTAAACCATTTTAGTCTTGAACACAGAAGGCTATAAGGGATTAAAACATCCAGAATCCTCAAGTGCACTGATGAGTGACTGATGTCAGTACTATGGAATCAGGAGAGAAACATGAACAAGGGGAGACAGGTGGAAAAGTGGAAACAAGGTGTGAATGCCTGTAAGGCCACAGGAAGCAGCGGGACATAGTCCTCACAGATTATAAAACATCTTCAAGTTCAGGCTGAACTAACCATATTTCTGCAGATAACAGAAGAAGTATGCCATTCCTAGACTGTACAGGACTGTAGCCAGAAGATGCTGTATCTGTCCAGCATCTATGTAGGGCAACATAGAATTAATTGTAATAAACAGTGTTACTGCTTTTATCTGAAATGTGTTTGATAGTTACCGCTGTGTAATGATTATGTTCTTCACTGCTTGACTCACTTGGAACCACATGCGTACAAACATCTTACCTGGACAGGAACATCCACACCAGTCCATCACAGGGCACAAACACACATACACACACACTCACACAATGGCCAATTTCCCCAGTTTTCCAAGGAGCCACTTAACCTACCAGTGTGTCTTTGGAGTGCGGAAGGAGACGTGGGCACCTGGAGACACGGGGAGAACATACAAACTTCACACAGATAGCACCCCAGATCCTGAATTGAACCCCAGCATTGCTAACCACTGTGCAATAATGCCACCATTTCTCCAGTTTGTTATTGAAAATATTTTTCATACCACTTTTCAGGTTAAATAAAGGATTATTGCCAGCAGCCATATCACCCTGCAACTCACAACTGGCAACATACTAAATCTCAACAGGTGTGAGCCTGGCCAGTACCTGGATAGGAGGATAGGAGACCTCCAGGGAAAGCTAAGGTTGTTGCTGGAAGAGGTGGTAGTGGGGCTAGCAGGGGGTGCTCACCCTGCTGTATGTGTGGGTCCTAAGGCCTCAGTATAGTAATAGGGACACTATACTGTAAAAAGGCACAATAAAGAAACAAAATTGAGGTCCAGACTCTCCGAGGTCATTAATAATTCCGGGGAGTTACTTGAAGAGTAGTGATGTTACTCCGATGTCCTGGCCAATTTTCCACTCAGTCTTTCTTAATCATGGCCTCCTAATAATCCCCATCTCTGAATAGGCTTCATCACTCTGTTCTCCTCCCCACTGACAGCTGGTGTGTGCCGAGCGTACAGGCACATTGTCCGGGTGGGGCTGCACATTGGTGGTGGTGGAGGGGAGTCCCCATTACCTGTAAAGCACTTTGAATGGAGTGTCCAGAAAAGTGCTATATAAATGTAAGGACTACCATTAAAAGAACTATAGGTTTTGCCAAAACTGAATTTGGTTCATTTCGGAAAATGGCAAAAACTTTCTCTTAGACAGTCTTGGCTTGATTAAAATAAATTCAGCAGTGGATCGAGTTATTTCAGAGCATTCATGAACTGCACTCGGTTCACAAAGCAGCATCTGCAAATAAACCACTTGTAAATAACTTGTGAGAACATGATTCAGAAGTGGAAGTAGAAGCTTGCTGTGGTGGGGGTCCACAGTAAAGTTCCTTAACAGGTTTTGAAATAGAATCTCCAAAACATGAAAAGCTGCATGTGAAGCTGGGATTTATTCTCGACTAGAAAAGATGTTCTGAATGGCCTGTTCTCTTTGTAACCTTTGTAGAAAAGCCCGCCATACAGTTGTAGTTCCTAATTGAGAGGTGAGCTGGTGAGAGGAAATTGAGAAAGAAAAATATCAAGAGACTCTGAGAAGTGGTAAGAGGTGAAATATAAGAGGTGAAATGATGGGAGACCCATAGCTCTGGAGCTACACTACTTTTTAAGGATAGACAGACCAATGGTTGACAGCTTATGAAACCTTCATAATATATATATACATTGATGTGGAAAGTTTTTATTTGAATTTTCTGAAGGTGACTACTGTTGTTTTATGGTCACCATCACTGCTAAAGATTACCTGGGTTTCTCAACACGTTGTATGAAATTAGAAGTTTGGCATAATCACGATTTATTTAACCAACCTTTTGAAGAACTCTGCAGTTTTCTGGATTCAAAAATCATCATGAAAATGAGCTGTATTTGCAGAACAAAAGATGTATTGATCTACTGTATTATCATAATGTAATGTATAATCTACTGTGAATTGATTTATATTAAAAAACATCTTTCATATCCCTCTAATGTTTTATGCCTTCTAACATGCTGCAGTATGTCTTAAATGCCGAAATACTTTTAGTTAACAAGAAAACTCTTCCCAGCTTTCACAAATTTCACAAAACTCTCCCACCATACAAAAAGGGTTTTAAGATACTTTATCTAAAGATATGTAATGCCTTTAATTATTTATGGATTTTAAACAGTGACATTCTGACTGCACTGATGGAGAAACAATACTGTGCCTTTAATCTTGTTGCTTCTCTGAAGGCACAGGACCTTACAGTTTCCACTTCCTCCTTCTTTTAATTGCTTGACTGAACCAATTGTGGAGCTGATCTTTGGCCAGTGATGTAAAACTCCTTTAACTATGTGAAAGGACTGCAGCTCTCCAGGAACAGGAGTGGAACCCCACCAGCCTATGAGTGGAGCAAATCACTACATGGGAGCACTTTACTGCATATCTTTCATTTCAAAAAGAAACATGCCGATAATAACCACTGAATTAAGAATTTAGATAAAGTAAAGATTTCAAAGGTTCAGATGATGCAACCCAATTATACAGGTTAGAAGGGGAAAGGACTGTAGTTCTACAAGGTGAACTACAGAGGGCGCCTGTGACACGTTTGTGTGACAGTGAAAATGACGGTGACATCAACTCATTCACAGTGTATAAAAACAGAATAAACAGCCCAGACCCAGTGCTACACTTTTAAAAATAAGCGTGGTTTATAAAACCCAAATATTACAGGATCACCAGTGTATACAGAAATACAAATTAGACCATCAGTAAAACCATCATAGTACAGCGCAATACACTCAACATTCACAAACTAGTTGTAAAAAGGGGACTTTAAGACTTTGCTTTTCATTTGCTTTTCATTTTTTTTCCGTTGTTTAAACACATAACCACATAAGTTTTTTTTTTCCTTTTTGTTTTTAATTACAGCCATCTATAAGCTACGGACACTGTCACAGTTGCCTAACTAGAAAGAAAGGATACAACACATCGAGAAAGAGAAAAGAGAAGAGAGATATCTAGCATTTTACATCATGGATAGAGCAAGCAGTTAATTAGCAAATAATAGGGTTCGGTTTTTACTCCCTGTAAGAAAAACAGATGTCAGGGCTTGCGTATTCAAGTCTTTTGGCTTACAAAAACACTTTACAAAAAATGGCTCTCCTCAAACTCCAAGCTTGAGGAGTAGCGTCTGACCCTATCGAGTCAGTATTTTTTCTATTAAATCTACAGCATTTGAGATCTGCCTCCAAAAAGTTTCCACCTTAACTTTTATTTCTGTCAGCACCTTAGTCTTTCTGGTGGACTTTGGGGCATGCCCCCACCCACCTCTGGCAACACAAGCCCTGCAGATGAAGGAGCACGCAAAGCTGATGAACAGGAAACTAAAGAAGCACCAACGAGAAAGACCAATCACATTCCAAAATCACGTGGATTCATTTTTCCACACACAGGACTCGACAGGTTTTATACACTAGAAAGAGTGCAGGTTCGTGAAACTATCAGGATTGCTCCTTATCCGCTAAAATACTGCTTTTTTCTTCTTTAAAGTTGACTTAAAATAAAATGGAAAATGGAAAAAGTTCAATTGTACAACGCAGCATGCTGGTGAGACATTGGCAAAGCAATTATGAAAAGCTCCGGCTGTGCTGTTGTCACAAGTAGGAGCCAAGTTCTTTTTTTTTTACCTTAAAAGTGGGGTAACGCAGAGTAACACAGCAGGTGTCAAAGAAATTACAGGAGTCCTTAGGATTGTAAGAGTTACTTAGTTCTTTGGTGGCCTGGCCAATGGATGCACACTACTATGTCACCCTTTTGCCCAATGTTATTCATTAGTTGCTAAATAGCAATTAATATGGCTTCAGATGCAACTACCTGTAATACCTAATCTTGTTCATCCGCATAAGGAGGAGACAATGTCCAATTAAATTCACAAGTCAGCCAGTCAATATTTGTTTATGCAACTACATGAGGTAAGTATTTTTTCAATTGCTATAGCTTGCTTTTCCTGGGTTTGTGGATACCTGAGCTACACCTGTATCTCCACTTTCGCAAACTGCTCGATGTCGATAGAGTCCAGGAATGACAGCTGTGATGCTGTGAGCTGAGGTCTGGTACAGTACGTGCTAGCTGAAGCAGTGCCTGACAATGCTTGTGCCAACTCTCCTTCACGCCTTTTCTTTCTCTTTTACATTCCCAACATGTGCAAGATGAGGAATGTTTTCTTTGAAAAGCAGCTCCTTGGCCCCCTTTTGTCATCTTAACAGCACAGCCACTGTTGCCAGAGAAAACGGCGATGCTGGCGAACATGAGCTGATCACGATATGTACCTATTCTGTGACAGAATGAAGAAGCACACATAGCCACAGGTGTGATACAGAAGAAGAAGAAGAGAGAGTGGACAGCAACACAGAACTGAGTACAGTTAAACTTCCTTTGAAGAGCCAGACGCCCCTACAGCAGAACTCTGCCGAGGGTCACCTGCTTTCAAGAGTAAAGCCCAAAGATTGTGCTCGCAGGTTTAACAAATTCTGTTTCCAGCTTAGGTAAGTAAGATTGTAAAGTCTAATATCTGCTCAGGTAGTTATGAGAAAAGCAGACATTATTTAGACAAAGGCAGATATCAGTTGTTCATGACCCCGGTAACAGAGAACACTACAGCAACTAAGGGAAACAAAAACACATATCAAGACAGAACCTATAGAAAAGAGGAACTTTCAAAATGCTGAGTTGTCAAGAGCTACTATAACTGCAGATAATGTCTGGAAGAAGACAAGAAACTGAAATGTCCCTTCATTTCCTTCTGTTTTCTGCTTGTGATGCAATCTGAAACCTTAGCCACAGAAAAGCCGGTCTCTGCAGGAAGCAGGGGACTGTAAAAGGCTGGCAAGAGCTCTCCCAGTAGGAAAGAGCCTGGATAGCACCTTAATTGTGAGTAGTGAGGACAAGATAGTGGACTAAACTTTGCAGTGGCTGAATGAAGAGGAAGACCCCTGACTAGTTCTTTACATCAGCCCTCCTCACGGTCCCCTGTTCCAAGTTCAAAAGAACCAGCTTTTAACATCAACACAAGCGTCTTTTTGGATTCTGACCCTCACAGTCAGGTGCTTAATGGAACCGATTGTACAGCGGTAGTTTCTCACAGAGAACTTTTTTCCCCACACTATCAGAGATGGGCATTTCACGTGCATCACCCTAAAGAGAGTGACAGATGTCTCATCTCATTAATCAATGGAAACTCCCCCAGTCTCCCAGTGAACACGTCTGGATGTATAGTGTCACGCTGTGTTGTGGTCGCTCCTCTGTGTGAGCACACGTTCACTTTCTCGTTACCCCAGCATCTCCTCTGCAGTGGGGGAACGAGGAAGGTCTCAGGTCTCTTCATGCATTTCAGGGGTGATTACAGTTGAAAAAAACAATAAAATAAATTAAGAATTATTTCCAAGCTAATGGGCTCATTTTGATCAAAATATTAACTTTTGATCACAAATGTTAATGAATAATGTAAATAAAATACCAAATGGAACTGTAATATTTATGTCCTCTAGTTCTGTGAAGGAGCAACCAGTATTTGCAGCACTCGTTAGCAGAGATGTGTAAAACTGAGGTTCAATGGATGACTACATTACCCCCAATTTTGCCCAGTCTGTTCTGACAGAGAACCCAGAAAAGTAGATTGTAAGAGAAGCACACTTCAGAAGAGCTTTTGTGGCACTAAAGATATCAGGAAATTGCAGTTATGGTTATAAACTCCCATAGCAGTAATGCTCCTCATTTTACATGGGATGGAAAATTATATGGGTCGGTCTTGAAGTTGAATTATTTTTGCAGGAGCTTCAGTCAGATCAGGACATTACAGAATATAGTCGGCCACAGACAACATCAAGGCCAAAATCTGCTGTGGTCTTCCATTCAGCAGTCCTTTGAGCCTTGTTTGGTGATGGTCAGAGAATCATATCCTCTCTGCTTCTTGGTGGCTGCTATTTTATTTCTTACTTCCCCAAAAAGTTTAGATGATTGGCTCACTGGAGGAGTGTACAGGCAACTCTCTGTGCGAATGTAAATCTGTGCTTTCAAAGGTCACCCGCTACAATGGAAACCCCTTAAATCAAGAACAGTATTTTCGGTTTATGCCTACCTACACGACGCAGTCCTCCATGAGCCACACACCACCAGGGCCAGGCATGGCCTGTCCAAGGGGGGGAAGAAGAAATTCAATGCTTGAGACTGCCCTTCATCTCTCAGTTGGATGGCACAGGCTGTCAGCAGGAATGAAAGCAAGCTGTGCACAGAGCTTAGATGCACACATTATCCAGTAGCTTCTACAGAAGAACTTATACAATACCACCAAAGTGCCCCATTTATTACATTCTTAAACATTTGTGCTGGAAATCTTCTTGATGTTTAAACTTCTACTATATTTTTCCTGAGCGATCGGTTTCAGTTCTACCCTGTATGGAAATGTTACTCTTCCTCCTACCTGCCTTTCAGTTTGAGTGCCTGATTCGTACACAGGCAGGCTGAAATGACGAGGCAGCTGGTGGAACACAATACACGTCTGTTATATAAGCCATTAGGACGCCAGTTGTCAGTTATAACACTATTAAATATTGTAGTTAGAAAATGGGAGAACGTTTTTTTCTGAAATAATGATCAGCAAAAATCAAAGGTTGAGTACCAGATCACTACGGAGCAATAGCTTTGACATTAAAATACGAGGCTCTCTGCACTGCCTGGAATATGGTGCCATCCAAAGTGCTTTTGTTTGTTTTTGAAACATGACTGCAAGCTGAACAGCACTTTCACAATTTAAATGATCACACATTTGCCTTAAATTTACCACCCACATTCCTGTTTGGATTCCCAAGACGGGTGCTTCAACCCATTTCTGTGCAACAAAAAAATAAAAACCTTGTTTTCCAAAAAGATTAGCATTTCTGATTGAGTACTAATTAAAGGTAATCAGATCTCTTTACAAAGATTAGGCAACAGAGCTCGTCTTTCAAGGGGAAATAAACGCCACTGTAAGCAGTTACAATCTGCTGTTCAAACATCAATGCACGATGAGACGACCTCATGGAAAGTGAAAACTACAACGGTTCAAACCTTAAGGTTTATTAATAACTCTTATGTAAAATTCAGAATGGATTCAACGCTCAAGAAACTTATTTTTCCTTTTCTTGAGCAACAAAGTCCTGGATACACATGGTGAAGAGGAAAGTGTGTGGTCCAGGACTTGGACTCAAGAGGCAGATGGGGTTTCCAGAGAGCCTCCTGACAACACTTTGACCTCTATAGCTGGGCCATGGCGCAGCACCGACTACACAAGAGCTAGTCCTACAGGCAGACTCAGACTGACCAGTGCCCCACTTGCCATCACAGCTTGTGCAGGGAGACACCAGTCCAGAACCTGTCGCTCTGTAGGGGCATCTCAAACTCTTTGACAGATGTTAACAGGCATTTAAGGTTTTTGTCTTTCATGGACTTTACAGAATCGGAACGCATGTGCACATTATTCCCTGCGCCAAACTAGATTTCTGAATCTGCACTAAGTTTTGGTGGTGATCCACATGTGACAACACATGGGGGACCTACTGTTCATCATTGTTTTGCTTTTTTCTAAACAAACTGCCTTTCTGCGCATGCATGAGTCGTGACAGTGAAGTAACTGCACAGATTCAGAACGGAAAGTACAAGAGTGTACCTCAGCAGACACCTACTCTTTCAAACAAAAGACTTCAAGCCTAGAGTCTTGGAAGTTTTTGAAACCCAGCATTTTTTACAGGTGATGACACTACATTCTACCTCTGTCACACAGTTTACGAGTTAAAAAGGGTTAGAAGGGCTCAATTAATGGGGATAAATTAAGTTAACTAATACTGTACATGATGGAAACCAAAAAACAAGGAGTCTCCAGTGCCAAGAGCCTGAGCTTTAGGAATTTGGTAAAAGCATCTCTTTTAAGAAAGAAGGCCACATTCTTAAAGGCTTTTACGTCCTGTTAGGATCATGCTGATCCACTTGAGTTCACACAATCTATTTCCGAAGCCCTGCAGCTCTTTCCTGATGAGTGAACTGATCTATTTTCTTTTCAGAATCCTGTTATGACACAGAACATTTCCATCCTGAAAACAACCCATGTGTGAAAGTACGGTAAGGTTCTCAGAGGTACATGCAGGAAGGCACCTGGGTTCCTCTATTCAATTTTGACCATATCGCAAATGCTTGTGCACCAGTGAGTATTTGTGCAAATGTTCAAGCTCGGATAACTAAGAATTGGTCATTACGTCACTAAAACTGGCAAAAGTTTTAAATGTAAACCTTCACCAGACTATGTATACAGAAATCACCAAACAAGAAAGGAAAGTAGTTGCAGTTTCCATTCTCCATTGATAAAAGAACAAAAAACACATGTGTAGGAGAATCCCAGGAGAACAGAAGTGTGCATGGCAGTGATTCGATCACTCCCCACTTCATTACTCCAGTAGCACAGCCTTGACACGAGTGGGGACTAGTCAATCTGACTCTGAGGGGTGAATGAGTTGGTTGCCCTCTCAACAACACCCCCAATCCCACTGCTGATCAGCTTTACTATCAACTTCTAAAGCGCACGCACTGGACCCAGCACAGCTGCAGAGGTTTATAGTATTCACTTTTCCAGAAGATCAGCCCATGCTGTCAAGAAGGAAAGACACCCCATAGGCCACAGCGTGGTACAAGTCCGTATGACTCAAAACAATTCTAGGCTGTCTTCTTCCTTAATAATGATGTGGGATCATGGGAGCCCACAGATCTGTAGTTTGCACTGTAAACCAAGCACTACTCTATTATAGATTATCAAGCATGGCTCATTACGGTGTTGTGATATTAGAAGCAAATATGGAATAGATCATTTAAGACCCTTAAAGGAAGTGGTCATTTGACATTTTTTTTGCCTTTTCCAAATTTTTTCCAAAAACATGTCTGTAATATTGTAATTACTATTAGGATTGTGGTGCTTTAAAATTGTACAACAAAAGTCTGTCTTGAATCAGTTGAATGGAACAATGCTGGCCATTCCTGAACAACAGACTTGGTTGCTGTGATCCTTTTCTTCATAGTATTTCAGGTCTTACCCATAAGGTGGTTGAAAATCTGTGGATAATTATTAGATCAGATAAGGCTTCACTGTGAAGCCTTCTGATATCATTGGTTATACTGAAATGCACTGATCAAGGCAATCCCAGATGTCAATCCCAATCCCTTTGCAATCCACTCAATATTTTGCTATAACCAGGTCCTCAGTTGTTTAACTGACCATTTGCCGGACCACCATTAAAATTCAGATGCTAACTGTATGTAAGTACTGAGTTGATGGGGAGTTCCCTGTGTTGAGCAACACTGATGTGACCAGCCATATGTTCCTTGAGAGTCAGATACAGTCATAACACAGTCGTGCTTAAAAACAAGTTTTACAATTTACATTACAATTTATGGAAATTTATTACAAAAAGAAATGTTTAGAGAAAACACTGCATCTTACTCAAGAAGGAAATGCTGACATACCCACTTTTGTCTCAGGTTTGGCAGAGCACAGGGAACCACGCAGGCTTTCCGAAGCAGGAACACAACTTTTTTTTTTCTATAGAAGGTGCTTTGCAAAACCAAAGTGCAAAGGGGAAACAACAGCTGTGTTATTGTAGCATACTGTACAGACCAGATGTGAAATCCGAATCTCAGATGGAACTGCTGTGAGCTGTGGAAATGTTGGGTTTTACAAAGTTCCCTGTCGGGACAATCAATTCTTGTTAGTATGAATTTCTAACTTTCCAACTATCCTTATAGCTCCATCACTCTCTGTTCTAGAACACACAAGCATGCTTATTGTGCCTGTCAGATGTCTGGGTATGTGACATCAAGATCAGTTATACCCTGTGGAATACCTGTATTTAATGGTAGTTCACGTCTGACTCATCACTTTCTAGGGGTACACAGCCTGATCTCAGAGAATTCACCCACAGGAAGACTGCTGAGTCATCTTCTGGGTCTCTTGTCGCATGGGGACAAAGGTTATAAAGGCAGTGCGCTCTTTCCTTCCTGTTTACTTCTAGAGCCCATGTCCATCTTTCAAACGCCTGGCCTGAGAGATTTCTGGGAGCACTAAGGAGTCCTTTGCATTGACCATTCCAGAGAAATATCAAAGAAAACAAAATTGTCTTGAAAACAATTGAAAGGTATTCATCTCACAAATGCACATTCGTTTCCTAGACTAAGTGGACAAAAACAGCTCATTTGAATAAACTGTGCAATAAAGCGTCAACTGAAGTCCACCCTGTTTTCACAAGTTTAAAACATTCTCTACAGTTCTTTAGAGCAGGTATCATTGCAACATTAACCAGCCCCTTGCCCGTGGATCTGACATCTGAAAACCTCCCCTGCACATTTAAAATCCTTGAGGATGGCGTTGGGTTCTAGTCTCCGATAACGGAAATAACATGTTCTGCCCTTTTCAAATTTCACTGCTCTTTAAGCATTTTTCATTCCGTGAGTTTAAACACCTATTTTATTGGCTGGGTTGGTACCAATAAGACAAGAAAACTATCCCTCACCCAGTACTTAATAGTCACTTTTTGTCTGTTAAAGATACAAATGGAACTTCGCTCTGTCACTTGCAAAATATTTAAATATTTAAATAAAAATAGTATAAAGAACTTGAATAAAAAGGCTCCTGTTTTAAAATTTATGACAGTAAACATCAGTCAAGCCTTTTTAGTTTTTGGAAGCATAATGGGGACAACCTTTTTTTTTAAAAAAAAGCTCTAAAACAGCTGTGGTGAAAAGATGTTTACCTGAACATGACACTGATATGAATGAAACACCAATCCTTTACTGCTCATCTGTATCTCTCTACACCCCCCTCTGTTTCTCATTATATTACCCTGGGCAGACATTAATGATGGTATCAACCTCATCTCTGAAAGCAACTGGGATGAGTTCACTCAGAAAGTTTAGACATGTTGGGAAGGTGGCTATACAGTAAACTAACTTACGGTCTGGTTTTGTTGGGTTTAGATTTGGTTAGTGTCCTGACATGGGACAAAATGAAAAATTGGGGAAGCCTTCAACTGGTTTGTGTGTAAAAGTCCATAAAAATGAAAATGACGGGGAATGTATCAAAGGCTGTAAATGAAATGATCATGGAAGCGTAACATGAGAATATCCTCTCATAAAAACTAGTGAAATTTTGGTCCATGTAGTTTATGAACACTACAATATGTGTTTATGAACACTTTATAAGTTGCTATCCTATATAACCTGTGACTTACTGTATATAGGATAGCAACTGCAGTAATGTGGCGACATACAGGATGACCTTGTGACTGCTGAAGGAAGTTTAAGGGAAGAAACAATTTAACAGACTATACCTTTTTCAAACAAAAAAGATTTGCTAGTAACCTAATTTGTGAGTAGGCAGACAGCTTTTCTACTGCCATTCATCTCTGTGAATTTGTCTGTAGGATTGTTTTTTTTTCCATTACAGGGAAGCCTGATTCATTCAGATACTGTAATCTTTTGGGTTCATGCAATACCAAAAAAGCTTAATAAAAACTAATAGATTAAGTAAGACACTTATCCATCTGAAATTACTTCTTAACCTGATGCATTTAGCTAATCTTTTATTTGAGTTTCTAATTAGCTGAATTTATTATTTGGGTTATTAACTTTCATTTGGATGCGTGCTACATCATACTTTGGTGGTCCTAGCAGTACAAAGAAACGAAGCTTTAACACCGAAGCTAAGCTCTCTGGCTTCATGACGCCACAGTCTAATTCTTTTCCTACAGTATTTGGCTTGGCCTTCAGTTAAGTCCCTAGTCCTGGTTCTACAATTTCAGGTGTTATATGGATCTTATCATTAATCTTTGTGAATTAAACTGATAACTGATTCACTCTAGGTATTTTCGTTTGGATTAGGAAACAACTAGAAGACACTGTATCTCTGCAGGACCAGAGCCGGAGACCTTGCTATGGTCTGTCTCAAACTGCAGATTGCACACTGACAAAGAGAACTAGTGCAGCTGTCTGACAGCATTTACAGTTAAGAAGCAAATGAAAACGGAGTAAATTGTGGTATTACATTACTTTTTCACATCAAAAAAGTTTTCTTTAAAAAATTTAATGCTTCTGGCAATAGAAAACACCTGTGGACTGACCCTAACCAAGACCCCGATTTTAACTACCACCAATTGTTGTTTGTTTTCGGTAATAAAAACATTGTGCTCAAAAGTGTCTGGTTTTCTCTGGCCCTGTTTGTTTTTTAATCACTGAGAAACAAAAGGGGCCTTCAATTTTCATTCTTAATTTACAGATTGAGCTATTAAAGAAATAATAGCATCAAAACTGTAAAACTCTCATTCAGAATTTTTTGAACTTTCATGGTTGACTAGAGAGAAAACTCAAGTGTAGGATCTTATTCAGGACCTTGACAACATCACCACTAACACCAACACCGGCTGCCCAGATCAGTACCTGAGCATCAGAACCTTCTTCTGGCTTACGTGACTCTAACACACCAGCGCAAGTAGGAGCTACTCGGGGACCAGACTTGAGCAAGGCCACCTCAAGGTTTTTAAACAGCTAAAGAAAGGGCCCACTGTCAGAAAGCATTGCAATGCCCCACAAGGACTTTACACCCCTGCCACTTAAACCAGTACATCAGCATCATTGCACAGAACTCAAACCATTCTTCTTTTCATAAATAATGCAGAAAAAAACAATACATTGACATCAGAATAATACACTAAAAATAAAAACAAAAAAACTTCACCAATGGAGAACAGTAGGTTTTTTTTTTGTTTGCTTGTTTTTCTCTTAGATATTGCGTGCACTTTTCCTGCAAGTGCACCCAGGGCCATACACTGACTTAAACAACTTAATGACAAAAAGAAAAAAGAAAGACATAAGTAAAAACCAGTTGGAACCAGCTGAAACTGGCCCGAGCCGAGTGTCTGAATTAGCTTTGTTTATTGTCCAGTGCTGAGTCCTTGCTCTTGTTTAGTATTATTTATATTAGTTTCTTTTTTCCTGTTGATCCTGATATACATATATATATAAACGTTTGTAAACAGTCTTTGATTGAATGTATCTTCAACTTATTGGCGACAAACTCAAAACGAACAAAGAAACAAATAAAAAAAAGGAAAACTGATGTACAAAACCAAAGTTTAGAGTGAAACCCCAAGAGATTGTGTCTGTCTGTGTGTGTGTGGAAAGTGCGCTGAGGCAGCTCTGTGGCAGACTGACTGGAAAGCTGGAGAGAGGCGCGGGTCCTCAGGCTGTGAGCAGAAAGCCCAGGCTTCAGGTGTAGGCTTCATCATCGGTGTCTTCTATTAAGACCTTGGTGTCTCGTGTCTTTGACCTGCAGGAGAGAGAAGTCAGGAGCGCTTGGTCATCAAATGTCAACGTGAAGATGAGTGAAGGAAAAATCATTTAGATCAACCACATGATGAAGCCACTGGGAGCTCAGCTGGAGTTTGCCAGCACTAATGATACAACATCAATGGAGGTGCAGGCCTCAGGAAGACTTTTAATGTTTGAAAATATATTCATTAGTTAGGAACAATTAAGGGTGCCAAATCAGCATGCTCTACTTCCATTCCTGGCTGCAAGCTCTGGAAAGTCATTTCAATAGCTGCTTCTAGAAACAGCTGGGCTGAAAAAGCTCTTGACCCGAGCCAAGCCAGGCATTACCGTGGCTTAATTAATCAAAGCACGTGAAAGGTCATGGCTAGAGGTCCTTGAGAACATGTTTTATTGTAATGCAACGCTAGGCAATGCTGCATTATGGGGAGGCCACTCTCGAGCACAAAGGAGGGCGGAAGTGCGAGGTGCGTACTGTGAGGCCAGCCGGGGCCGGCGCAGAGACACGCTGTGGCTCCTCTTCCACGCCTTGGTCTTCTGGCGGTTCCTCACGCCGTCCTCCTGGTCCATCATCTGCTCCAGGAGGGTCTGGTCATCGGCGTTGAGCGGAGCCACCGAGATGTCACGGACGGCCCGGAATTCACCACAGTTATTCAGGTGCTCATTCTCCAGGCGGAAGAAGTTCCACACGAAGCGCCTGAGCAGGAGAGCAGAGCGGTTAGGCGGGGAGAGGAACGGGGCTCAGCTCGGACACCCCAACACTGGCTGCCCAGATCAGTACCTGAGCATCAGAACCTTCCTCTAGATACGTGACTCTACCACACTTGTGCAAGTAGGAACTACTCTGGGTCCAGACTTGAACAGCGCCACCTCAAGGTTTTTAAATGGCTAAAGGAAGCTGCAATGCCAAACAAGGTCTTTACACCCCTGTTACTTAAATAAAATATATTAGCATCATTGCACAGAACTCAAACCATTCTTCTTTTCATAAATAATGCAGAAAAAAAATACATAAACACCAGAATAATGCACTTAAAAATAAAACAAAGAAACGTCATCAATGGAGGACAGTAGGCCTTGGCATGGTAATCTGCCCCCATAGACTGCTGTTCTAACACTTCAGAGCCAGAGGCATTGAAACACCAATCCCAGATAAGCAGATTGCCTTTCAAATCAGGGTTTTTACTACAATGCAATATTTATTCCACTTTTAAAAATATTCTAAACTAAAATCAAGCTATATAACATACAAAGGGGGTTAAATGAGGAAACCTTTTTTTATTCAGCATCATCTGAATGCTGTGAAAACTGAATGTTTTTAAAAAGTGGATATATCCACATTAAAAAAAAATTGGAATGTCTTTCCATGAAATTTTATCCCAGACCATTATGTTATCCATTCTCCACATCACCAACTAAACTATATGAAACTTTTTTCATCCCTGAGTTTTTAGAGACACTGAGGAAAAGCGTTACATTTTGTAATTTATCCCTTAAAAGTAAAAGTATAAACATGTAATACTAGTATGTAGTGATAAGCCATAAGTAAATAAAAAAAACAATATGTAATATTATTTGTTCTAAAAATAAAATGTCACGACAATGTATTTTTCTACTAAGTTAGCAGCAAATTAATAAATATTAAATTAAATTTTTCATGGACTATAAAGAAGACAGAACTCCTACTGCAGCCTGAGCGATTCACAACTACCAGTTTTAGCGTATTTCAAACTTGAAACCATATTTTTGGTCAATTCCCCTAAGATAATATGACAGACTACATTTCTGATTCAGCGTCCGAGTCTGGACAAGAGAGAGCAGCTCATTACATCTGGATGAGATCAAACTCTGTTCAATTAAAGATTCATCCCTGTAATGCACTCATGACTGCAGGTTCTGAATTTTACAATACTGAGAGGTTCAGTTCTAACCACCATCCATATGCAGGAGAGACAGTGCCCAGTGGAGAGACCTGGTTAAACTAAACCTTGCCCTCCAGTCACCAATCACAAGCCCAGTACCTGCCCGAATGTTCCTGCTGGGTATATACAAGATGGGTGATACAATATCAGGGTCCTCCAAACTCCAGTGTCTTCTCGACCTGGTAGAGATCTCAGCTACAGTATGTAGGTGAAAACACTTAACTAATCAATCTTATTATTTAAATTGCTGGGATTTATTTATAAACTTTTGGCCTATTATGAAAGCTGATCTCATAGGAACATCAGAAAGCCTAGGTTTTCAGTAGCTAATTGATCTGAAGATCTCATCAAGAAGAGATGGTATTGGCTTTCACAACATGGATGGTACTAGACTCCCACTGCTGTTTGTGTAAAGTTGTCCAGTTTTCCTTGAATACCTAAAACCTCCTATTCACCATTTTAAACACACCTTGCCTTAGTTTTCATTTGTGTCCTCTGGATCACATTTCACTCTTGGCACTGAAGACCTCCACTGGTTTGACACTGAATACTTGAATATCCAAGCCCCCTCACAGTTTTCTCCCTTCAGACTGAGAAGATTCAGTTCTTTCAGCCTGTCAGTGCTGCTCTGAGCCCAGGCATTTACCTGGCTGCTCTTCTCTGTATAGAGTGCAGAGCAGCAGTATACAGTATGCTTTTCTATACCGGTGACCAAAACTGAACACAGTTTTCTCAATTTTGTTTTACTGCTGCATTGTGCTTTTTAAACAAAACCCCCACGAGGTTTGGATGTGAGCTAGCCGAGCACCCCGCCTTACCGGAAGACCTCCAGGGGCGCCAGCACTGTGGAGAGGATGTCGTCGGCGGACGGGAACACGTCCATGGTGGAGATGGTGGTCTTGATGATCCAGGCGAAGCGCAGGATGATGTCTTCCACGATGGCACAGTAGTAGTAGGCCTGTGGCAGAGTGACAGCCATCTGTCAAGCCCCTCCCCAGACAGAGGCAGACCAGCAGCCTGCACTGTCAGACCAACCACTTCCTATCACACCACAAGCAGATTGCCAACAGCTGGTCTGAGGCACCTGGAGGAGGACTGACGCAGCTCTCACTGCTGCGCTGGCTCACCCCCAGCTCACAGGAGCATGGCACCATGTGAAAAGCTCACGACAGACAGCTAGTAGTGTCTGCCTACCTTAGTGTGAGTCTCTTTTATAACTGCAGCTTAAAAAATTACTACAGTTTTACCTTGTAATATTCATTTTTCCCCCCTAAAAACCAATAAACAATTTGAACATCAAATAATATTTTTCTCACATCAAGCTGAAAAGCCTCAGCTCTTTTAGTCTGATAGTGTTGCTCTGAGCCCAGCCATGTACTCGTCTGCTCTTCTCTGGACAGATTCCAGAACAGCAGTATATCTTTTTCCATATGTGATGACCTAAACTGAACACAATTTTCTCTATGATTTCTTACCCAGTGCACCTCACGATTTTAACAAAACATCCATTGATTTAAACTGTACACTTCTAGCTATATATCTTACATTTAGTTTGTGATATTAAATGCTTCTCTACATTGTCTAGAAGATGGAAATTAGGGCACATAAACACTTTTTAATCTTTTTAATAGGCACCTACGAGATGTTTTTCCTTTCCATATTTGTAGTTTTATGTTTCTTCTACCTTCATCTAGCACCTTTCTATATTAACTGTTATTCTACCTGAATTGTTTTGATTTTTCTTTGCCATCTCTAAAATATTTGCCAATCCTCATTGTTAGATAGCAATAGACTATACCAGAATCGAAGTCATTGATATAAACTAGGAAAAACAGTGGTCTCAGTTCCGATTCCTGTGGCACTCCATTAATTATATCAACCCTAAATTTGTGTATCTATCCATTAGAAACTTATTGCAATACAGAAGATCTTTAATTCGAATTACTTTTTCTACAACCTTACATACAATAAGACACAATGGCCAATAATTACTCACTCTTGCTTGACTGTTTGTAAATATTAGATCATTAGTGCCTTCCCCTCAATCATTATTAGGTTTGTCTTCCATTACAGTTTTTAGCAACTTCTTCATTTTCAAAATGACGAATATCACACATTCACAATTTCATTATACCGTACAAGAACAAGACTGCATTATAGTTTAGATGTGAATTCAGTGGACTGTAGCATATGCATACCCCCCTAACAATATGCCCTTAGAAACTTAAAAAAAATATATATGACCAATATACTGTGCACTCTGAGATCCTGGACTCTTCTAGATTAAATTCTGAACGCTCTTTTTGATGTACGGGTACAGAGTAGAGTACACCTCCACCTCTCTGGACTCTCCCGTCTCTTCAGATTGTTGATTATCCACTCTCGCTGTATTTGTTACCGCCCCTCTTCATTATTTTTCAGTTCCATTAGAATTGCCTGCTAACGCAGTAGTTTTCAGATGAACTGACCAATGACTAGTTCACTAATTCAATGAAATACCTAGGAGCTGCTGTAGAAGGGAAAGCGGGAGACCGGGACCACGGCTGGGAAAGGAGTCTGCCGCAGAGCTAGAGAGGAATTCCCTCTTACCTTCTGGGGGTAGACGATCTCTTCTCGCAGGAAGGTGTTTTCCCCAGCGTTCTTGTCAAACAGCCCCCAGTCCATTTTCAGGTCCCAGATGAGCGTGTAGAGTGAACTGATCACGGAGAAGACGATCATCAGGTAGAAGAACACCTGCGAATCGGAGTCATCCTGGTCTGGGAGCACAAACACACACACCCAACGAGCTGTTGTTAACGCATGGCATCTCTCAATTCAAAATCAAAATCACTTCTCTCTTTACTAGTCCTGTTGTTCCTGGTCTCTGGGCAGATGGCATGAGGAATTCTCAGGGGTGTTGTAAAGCACAGCACTGGGTATTGTAATGCTTACTTTAAGCAGCTCTGTGTGCATTAAGAACCCCTGTAGATGTCTTTCTGAATGTACTGCGTATCATTTACTGGAATGAATCTCCAGTTGTTTCCACAGGGCAGCATGAGCCCCACTCTAAACGCTCCCCCATTTCAACACCACTCTTTCAGCTTTCAGGAAAAACCCTCAAGCCATAGGCTTGCTTCACCTGTTAGGAATGAAAAAATCGTGTTTTGTGGGGAATACAACACCATAAACCACAATCATACAAAACAACTGTTCCTCTGTGTTGCAGATTGCAGTTAAGTTTAAATGAATACTGAACCAGAGAGCAGTTAAAACAGAAGTAGATTAAACCATCTCTTTTGGTCCGACCTGCGCTACTGCCCGGGTGACCCAGCAGAGGGAGCTCCATTTACAGAGTCTTCAGCACATGTCCTTTTCCTCCATTTCTTTCAGCACTAAAACAGCACTTGCTTCCACAATCAACTCATGGTTGGATTTGATTCTTTTAAAACACTTACGGAGACTGCTTCACCTTTTCTGATTTTCCGAGTTTGCATGTTTGCATATAATATGTTGTCAAAATGTAATAGTGCCGTCATTAGTATTGAAAACTTATTTTTTTCTGACAGACCCATAGCTTTGTAAATATCTATAAGTCATGAAAAAGGTCTAGCAGCTTAACTAAACGAGGGCTATACAGTCATACACAGGAGTCTGTAGACGCACTGTTGGAACACATGTTCTTGCAGTCAGTGGTGAGAAGCGAAGCTGAGAAGCCTTGTTTATCAGTGGCTGCAGTTGATCTCTACTGACAGAATGAAACGCCTGTTCTAGAGCAGCTACCAAGTCTTTAACTCGCTGTGGCAGACTTCAGAGTCAATAAAGAGCTGCTGACAGGGACACTGAACCCTGAGAACATGATAACCCTGGTCCAGAGTGGCAGATCACGCTATCGGAAGACAAAAAAAACATTTCTTTCAAGAGTTGTGGCATTCTCTAGGCAATGTTAATGTTTTCCAGTTTATTTTAAGAAGACAGTTGGCTCAGCTTGACAAAAACAAGTTAGGTAGGCTGAACAGACAGAACACATCCTCTCCTTCGTAACCATTCTTATGTTGTACATTTCTGTTTCACAGATGTTTGAGATTCAACAATATGTCAAGGCAGTTTATTGCTGGCCTCCTGAATGGTTCAACCAGTAAAGGAGCTTGCCTGAGAAAACAAGACGTGATGTTTATTCCAGCACGGACAAGTAATTGTTGGGGCTTTGCTGAACATGGCTAAATATAAAAATAGAGAAAAATGGTGTCAGCATAGTACTATCAGTACTCATGTGCTGGCAGAACTTTTAAAACACCACCCTTGCAGGCCTCCTGCAAAATTCTCTATTATTTTCTTGTCAGAAAAAAACAGGTGCAAGCAACAGTAAAATCAGACCAAATAGCAATCAGACCGTACCAAAGAGAGGAACAGAAAAACAAGGTTGAGCGTTTTTACTCTGCAAGGATAGGTAAAAATGTGGTGTTTTCAAACCAGGAGCAGCAAGGAGATTCTGCTTTTCCATCTCACTCAACAACTTGATGACATGTGGTTCCGAATACATCTGTACTGTTAGATGCGTGCCTGCATAAACTGAGGTAAATAAAGAAATGCCATTTCAGTCATGCACTGCAGTCCACAGCTCCAGGTGCTACTGTGTTATTTACTCTTTCATCACGTTACCTACTGTAGCTCATTTATCCACGTTTTT